TCTGAAGCTGAGAGTGGCAGAGCCGAAGCAAACGACCAAGAGACACCTCACCTGTGCACCTCCAGCCTCACACCTACAACAACACTATTTCATACCCATGCAGGGAGGTTAGAAGGTGGCAGTGAGAGATTGCTGCCTGCGGCCGTTCTGTGTGGAGTTTACATAATATCCCGGTACCTGTGTAGGTTCTCTCCAGGTACTCTGGATTCCTCTCACAAGACACGCATGTCAGATTAGTTAGTGATGCTAAATTAGCCGTACCCTGCCTCTTGCCCCATCACACCCTGAATTAGATATGCAGATGGGAATGGGTGGATGAACTTAGGAATGGAGTAAAGGTGCTTCAGTTTATCACAAAAAAAGTTTGTTTGCGCACAGCTGGAGCTGAATGAGATCCATTAAGATAAAGCTGCCGGGGGAGTTTAGTTTATGTGGTCCAAAAGCTGGTCCTGGTTCTTTGTTAACACGTTTAGGCTGCAAGTCTTTCATCTGCCGTCCCGCTCAAGGACACATCGCAGAGGTGGGGGGTGGAGTGGAGAGGAGACCTGATGTGAGGTTAAAATAGCACTCTGGCTAATTACCTGCCATTTTTCTTCCAATCCAGCGGTCCCCAACCCCTGGTCCTCGGACCGGTACCGGTCCGTGAGTTGTTTGGTACCGGGCTGCGAGAGTTGAGGCTCAGGTGTGAACTGTTTAGTTTTCAGGGTTTTTATCGGTTTTCAGCGTTATTTTGTTATCGTTTTTATCATTAACTCGGTTTTCCTGGGTCTTTTCACGTGTGTTATGAATAAATCTTCTTTCTTTCGGTACCGGTACTAGTTTTATTTTGTTGTATTTATCCGCGACACCTTAAAGGCCGGTCCGTGAAAATATTGGTGGGCATAAACCGGTCCGTGGTGCAAAAAAGGTTGGGGACTGCTGCTCTAATCTATTTACTCATCCAATTAAAGTATTAAAAATATTGTTATTGTTCGCCATTTGAGACTTTTTGATGGAAAATTGTGGAGAAAGTATCTGCAGTAATATATCTCAAATATATAGTTGTGTTTCTGAACTTTGTGGTTGAAGAAAATAAAAGAAGTGAAACAACATTTTTAGCTTTTTTTTAATTCTTATAAGCTAAATGGTTAATTGGTTGATTACAAATCATTTATAAAAATTCTTTTAATAATTTAAACTCGCTTCCTGTTAACTAGATAAAACTGTTGATTCTCATGCTTTCACGTTATAAAACTAACTTCACTTCTTTAATTTTATGAATCTGTACATAAATCATGTGATGATAAACCCATTCATGTCTTTATCAGGTGAGTTATATGAGATTTTATCACCAGGCGACAACAGTCACACTGCACGCCGCTGACCTGCGAATTATAATCCGAGTCAGCCAGGTGGTGTTTGTGACGGAGAGGGATTCATCCAGAAGGTGGAAGGTCAAAGTTTGTGAATTGAATTAACACACTGCAGCTCTAAATGTTGCTGCGTTTGTTCCTTTCAGGAGAAAAAAAAAACCTCGAACCTTTGCGCAAACTAAACCGTTACTGATACCTGGTGCACGTGTTCAGCAGCACCGTGAGGTGATTTCAAATCTGCTTCTAGAAGTTAGAAACATTTATTGTATCTTTAAAGGTGCATCTGTTTGTCAGCTTTATGCAGCGGTTTTCACAGTGGTTCCCACAGTAACTCAAAGCAGGTGTGAGACTGTAGATCAGTTAGTGCAACACACACACACACAGCAGCGCAAAAAAGCCATCGGTGCATTTTCATTTGCTGTATCAGTGTTTCTCAGGCACTGGTTTACCAACATTTCTCTAAAAAGCTTCTATGAAAGCAGAACAGCTCAGTCAGGGCACAAATCATAGCTGCAATTATGGTCAATACCACGACCACAATTACTCAGAGACTTTGAAAACTTGAAAGAAAGAAAGCTAAAGCTTACAGCCAAACTGCACAAACTACCATCTTTTACTTTTCTGTTATTAGTCAAACTTCCAAAACAGCCATCGTTCGGCTCCTTTCACAGCTCATCGCTCGCTGTTTTTACCTGTGGGCCGGTTGAGGATGTGTCTTATGCAGACATTTTGAAATCAATTTATTAAGCGGAATTATGTGGCCCTGCGCTTTTCTCTGCCACCCGGACCTGGAACTGAATTTGACACCACTGTTTCCAGTTTCTGAAACTATGCATGTGTAGCATGTGGCTAAAATGCAACCTAACCCTAACCTTGCCCTCAGGGGGGTTTTATGGTGACCAGGTGGATGTCAGGAGGTTAAAAAGGTGCAAAACCAGGTCCACATTAATTTATGACCCAGTCATTTCTAGTCTGACAGCTCAACACTTTTTCTCATGTCTGCACTCACTCAAAAAAATCTGTTGTTGGATGAACACAATTTAATCGTGTCACCTTTTTCCACGTGATTTAACCAAGTACAATAACCCATTTTTGACCATGTCAGACCAACACGTTTGGCATTTAGTGGTTTAATGTAATCAGAATTTTGTTTTAATTCATTCTGCACAAGTTAAAAACTTCAGGAGAACTCAATGAAATCTTGTTGTTTGAACAACTACTTTGTTAATCAAGGCCATTACTGCTAGTCGTGCTTAATGAACCAATGTGGGGGTTGATGATTTCATAGAGACAGACAACCATTTGCACTCATGCGTAGTTTAGAATCACCAATAACTCTAGATTGGATTGTGGATTTGAACCCAGGCCCTTCTTGCTGTGAGGCACCAGCACCAACCATCACACCACCAAGCTGTCACTCCAGGCTTAAAACTAGGAAAGCTGTGATTTCAAGGCTTGATGCAGACTTCTCTGTACGTTTTTGTCCTTGACAGGTTAAACCACAATAAATAGCGAGAGCATACACGTGGTGTGGGTGTAGCTGTCTGCCTCTTAAAACTCCAGCGATTTTCCTGCAGTTTGACATCTAATGTGATCTTGTGAATTGCGTGAGTCCAGCAAATAACTGCTCTTACTCGACTGTATCAGGTCATCTCAACAAGAACAAATTAAGTTGCTGAAGTTCATGCAGATGCTACATGATTTAATTACGTTCACCATAGAAAGAGGAAATTATTTAGTTCAAATTACAAGTTTGAATCTCGTACATGTAACAACCACCCAATTTCGTTTTTTTGAGTCCTTAGAGCCAGGAGAGAATCAGCAGATTGTGTTTGGCTGTGTGGGGAGAATGGAGAAATCCCACCCCAAATAAACAATAAAAGCTTTTAATAAATAAGCAGTTAAAACTGAAGGATTTGTAAGAACAGAGAGTCAGCGCTGGTCTGAACCACCGACTGCTGGACAGTTTGAGTTTTTACCCTCAGCTGTTTGGAGGACTGAAACCCTCCATGTCTCGTTTCTTCTGAGTGTTATTAATATGCTTAATAGAAAACAGGCCTTTGCTTGTATTTCTGTCTCTACTCTAGCACGTTTGCTCTTTTTGCTTACTTGGTAGAAATTCTTCCATTTCCTGTAATTAGTTTCTGTTGTATTTCTTGTTATAATGGGAATTCTTGCTGTAAAACAAATTTCTCATAGTGCAATGATGAAAAGAAACTTAAACCTTGTTTCTTTTCTGATATGCAAGACAGGTACAGGATGAACTTGTCAGAATACATCTAGAAGAACCAGTGCTGCTCTAAACCTCTGGAGAACACCTTTGAGTTCTCACATGGAGATACAGAGAGAACAAATCGCCCACGAAGGCTCAAACCCAGAACTTTCTCACTGTGAGGCAACCTTACAAACCTCTGTACAGACACCGAATGAGGCATGTCAGATTATTAAAGAAAATCCCAAATAAACAAATTGAAGACTGAAGTTAATATTTGAGCAGCAATTTTGAGCAAAAACGCTCTCCTGAAAATCTTGGAATAAACGGTGCAAATATACAACTGCGCACCTTTTCAGGCCCGGAGGACTAATAATGAGCTCTGCGGGGGACATTTATGGTGACTGTACCTGTAGGGACAGAAAATGACTTTGACTGTAGCAGTGTTTCTCTCTATGAGCGTGTAGCAAATCAACGGCTCCATTAAAATAAAATGAATAGACAACACTTCTGGTGCCATTTCCGTCTGTAAACTCATTACTCAGCGCCAAACACACACCTCCAGTGCATTTAAATATTACAGCGATATAAGGAAGTCCGGTGTGACCATCGAGGACATCAAATACATGTACCAGACACTCAGAGTTCTAATCTGTGTCATGCATGTACATCCTCTAACAAGTCCTCATATCTGCGGGATGCTTTTATGCGTTTCACAACAGAAAGATTCTTGGAGGAAAAAGTGGCAGAAAGGTCAGACTGACGCACTTCGCGTCTCAGCGGTGTTATTGGAATATCACAAAGACGTAAATATGACAACCAGCAGCCACCAGCACGGCCCCAAATGAGCCTCCTCTCACATAAACAAAGCCGCTTAATTAATGGAAAGTGGTGGCACGGGTGTGCTCGGCTCGGCACGGCCGGGAAGGAGCGGGGTTGCATAGGAACAGGGGGAGCGGAGTCTCTGGAGGGCGAAAGTGGCTCAAAGCAGCGGAGCAGAAGGGGAAGTGAAGGAGGGTGAAGCGCTCTGACATCTACTGAAAACTGCGAGTTTTCGGGGCTGACCTCCGCCTGCGTCATAAAAAAAACACATTTGCGTGGAAATGGGTGCAAACGGGAGTTTTGAGGCAGGTGGGGGAAATTCAATTACCTTTAAACTCCAGGAACGCGCGCGTGGGTCATTCTTTGCAGGGGAGTAAATAAATTAAGAGGCTGGGACGTTTTAACGACTTGGGCCCTCCAAACGCACCCGAACACTCTCCGGTCTGATTAAAGTTGCTTCGTGAACGCGCTCACGGGGCAAATAAACGGCTGATATCAGGAGCGCGCCGCGCGGCGTGTCGCAGGTGTTTGGAAACGCCAGGATCAGCGGGAAAGGTCAGAGTTCAATCGTTCAGGAACATTCCCGAGCTTTAAGAAGAAAAGGAGATACTCACATGTGAAACTCCTGCGTTTAAAAAACTGCTGCTTTATTTCACACCATCCCCGCCGCGCCGCTCGAACCCCATCCACACAGGAAAACTCCGCGGAGTGCGTGGAGTGAAATCTCTGAGCTCTTCTTCGCTTGTTTTGTTAATCCAGGGAAAGTGATGATGTAGCTGAGATGAATGAGCAAGTGTCCCCTGCGCGCGCCTCCAGCAGCGCAAAGAGGAGCGGACTGTAGCGCTTCAGTCCAGCCGGGGAGGAGAAAGTGCGCACCGGGCTCCCTCACTCCGCCTGCTCCGCTTCCTCCAGCATCTCCCCAACTTCTTAATTCTCCTGGAGCGGCTTTAGCTCTTCATCTGCTCCCCTTTAATCCTGAAAGGAGCCCTGGTCCCAATCACGAAAGCAGATTTTAAAAACAGAAAAAGAATTTTATCCTTTTCAGGTGTGATCATTAAAAAGCAAAGGAGCGCGCGCTTCCAATAAAGTCCCGCGTGGGCTCCAGCTGCTGGTTTTACTGTTTCTCTGGGTAGATTCTGGGAGGAGGAACACAGAGAAGTTGAGCCGTCACAGCGGAGTGCTGGGCTGCGTTTAGGTGCGTCGGTAGGCTGGCAGGGCTGACCGGCCGGACTCCCATCATCCCCGCCGCTTGATTGCCCCCAAGCACTGAGAGAGAGAGGGAGAGAGTTGGGAAAGGGGAGATAGAGAGGGAGTGGATTATCGCGAGGTTACGCCCCAATTCCCGTTTGTCTCGCTCTGTGGTGGCCGAGGGCACGCGCACTTTTGTAAGCACAGACACGCAGAAAGTCCACGCATGAGAGTAACGGCTAAGATGTATTAATGCAGTTTATCAGACCTCTGTACACCTGACAGTTCATGATGTGTAGCACTAGAAGTGTGCTGTGTAATTCTAACTTAAATATACTTTATGCTAAAAAATGAAATAAAAAATATTACGATAAAGACTTTTTTACATACATGTGCCCCAAACACCGCACACTTTACAGAAATATACTTTATATTAATCATTCACAACATGAAGTCAGAGTCCATGAGTTTCATTGTCTTATGCACAGTAAAAAAAACATGTTTCCTTATAAAATAGAATTCTGCCTGTGCTGCCCAAATAAAAAAGCCAAACATAGTTTCAGTCCTACACACTTTATGTTTCATTTCTTGTGACCCATAGACCAACTTTATCAACATTTATCAACAATGACTACCTTGAACATCAACACTTCCCAGGAGTCTCGGTCCTGGTGATCTGTTAAACTTGCCAAACCTGCAAGTATAGAGTTTACATTTTGTGTTAGGAGAGAGAGCCTGCTTTTGTGCTCCATACACCGGATCATTTACAGGAACTCTGGTTTTATCTCATTTATTTAGTAAATCCTGGCATTATGATCACAGCTTGTCAGTCACTGCAGTGTATTGACATCGATTGATCCATTCCTGCAGTTCTGGGTCACGGGGGGTTGGGCCTAGGCAGAGATGCCCAGCTCTCCTCCTCCCCTGCCATCTCCACGTTGGGAAGGTGAGGATAGGAACATAGATCGATCCATAATTCCACAGTTTCACTGTCACACAGCTCTCTCATCACCACAGCGTTACAGCGCCCTCATTATTGTCTATGTCACACCAGTCCACCTGAAAATGTCCGGCTCTTTCCTTCACTCACAAAAAGATTTAACTCCTTCCCAACCTGGACTGGGCACTCCACTGTTTTTTGACTGAGAACTTTGGCCTTAGATTTGGAGGTGGTCACTCGCATTGATGTTGGCTGTCCCTTTAATGTATTTGCTGCAAAGTCATGTCTCAATCAGCAGTATCCTTCAGTCCAACTGTTATCTTCTCAATCACTCACTGTGAAGTTAAGCAAAGTTTAATTCAGCGTCACTAATTCTTATTATACACAAGTCGCTGAATTGCGTTAATAATCCACAGTCACTGGTCAGCTCGTCACTGCTCGCGTATTCCTGTGTGGATTCACTGTAAAGCTGCTCTCAGCCACACAAACACAAGGAAACACATCACACACCCACAAGACTCAAACTCTAAAGACAGCGTCTCTACAGCATCATCACAACACGCTAAAATCAAGGATTTAAAGTTAAACACGACCGTTTCAAACACACATGTGTGACTACACTGCCCAGAATGCACGAGTTGGACTGGATTTGGATTGTAGGTTTTTCCTTGTCTGCTGTGAGAGATTGAAGCGAGATCATAAAATCATGGCTGCATGTAGTTGTTTCATTCAATGATCCAACAAGGTTATTACAGCAAAGTAAAACTAACAACAAGAACTCAGTATTGTCCTTATAAAACTAACGTTAAGGTTAAGTTTGTCAGCCCAACTGGCCTGAGGAGACTGTTGTTCATAATTTTATACTTGTAATATCTGCTCTAAACATCCAAAACGTTTCCCTGCACAAAACCACTGACATTATAAAAACTAAGGAGTAAAACTATCACTGAGGGATTTGGAAAAGTAGATTGAAACTAAATATTTTACAACAGTAACAACCAAAGAACACAACTTAATGTTTTCAATGTAATTTATAATATTTTTAAACATGTTCTGGAAGTTGATCTCTGCTAACAGTAAAAGCAGGGGGAAAGAAAAAACAACAAAAATGTTTCATTTAAGAAAAAAGAGAAATTAATAATAAAGACAAAAAATTGTAGCAACAGAATAAACATAAATAATATAAAAACAATATAATGATAAATGAATAGAAACTCCAAAAAACATCAACTTTAATCAGCAAAATGAAGATGATCGAGTCACATCATCGCTTCATGATAACAGTCCAACATTTATTTATTTATTTGCGATTTTTTTCCCCAATCCGATAACTTTGAGTCCACTTCTCAGCAGGATCCATTATTTCCCAGCATGCCGCCTGTTAGCAGCAAGCCCACAGTGTGAAGCGTATCACAGTCTCCCCCTGGTGTGTGTTATCACTTACTGTCATCACAGCAGTTAGTAAGAGATGCGTGCTCCTCACAGGACAGTAGCGCTGCACGCATATTTTACATTTTATGATGTTTCACTAGAGATGAAAGTGAGCACGAAGTATTTAAAATAAGGTCAGCCGTAAACATCTGCAGCTGTGATATTAATATCATATAACACTGTGGTGAAGGGGGCAAGAAACGAATCCAGCACCCTTTCTACATTTACACCAGAACTATAGACGCCACATTTTTGCAGTTCTTCAGACAGGAAAATGAATCTCCGCTTAACTCTCTGTAAAAGTCCTCGAGCGTCACTGATCAGTTCTCACTGCGAACAACTTTTCACTTCTTTTACAGATTATATTTCACTGGTTTCAGAAACACAGAAAAAGCTCTGAGCAGAGGACCAATCACAGGAGTCCAAGGCTGCAGGTCACAGGTTTGACTCCCACAGCTCCAGACGCCTGACCTGCTGTCGTTTCTTTCACTTTTAGGCTTCAGTTTGTGTTTGATTGGAACCAGGAACCAGGGTTCTTGTTGTTTTTTGTACTGCAGTGATGTGAATACAGGTGAGGAGATGCCTCCTGTTTGGCTAAATATTAAACTACAGCGCCCTCTTTGGGTGAAAGGATAGAGATGCATATTGAGAGCTTTTCCATCAGAATTAGCTTGATTGACCAAGTATGTGTCAGGATGCGAGGAATATGGCTCCGGCTATTTCTTGGCGCTCAGTCTACAAAACAGAAAAATGACATCAGCATAACAACAAGACACACAGCATGTTTATGGTGCAGAGAGCAAAGATGCTGGATTAAATAAAGGATGCAAAAGTAGTTACTATATATACAGTAGATAGATAGATAGATAGATAGATAGATAGATAGATAGATAGATAGATAGATAGATAGATAGATAGATAGATAGATAGATAGATAGATAGATAGATAG